CATTAAGACGTCATCTTGCCACTTAAGTGTACAAATTTTCCATTAATTATTCCCATTCTTTTCTATTTACTATCTATAGATGCACTAAACTGGTAAATGAGCAGTCCTTTGGATCAAGTATTGCTCATTTGCGCATCGAAAACGCCGGCGAAATCCGACTGGGACCGAACGCCCTGCGTGCTCGCGGTCTTCAGCATGTGGAATCCATCACTATTGTCGACACACGCATAGTCGAGCTAGATCGTACGGCCTTCAATGGCATCACGTACCTATTCGCCGTAAACTTGACACGCAATGGTTTGCAAGACATCCACCCGAACACTTTCCAGAACAATACGCAACTCAGCCTGCTCACGATCGCCGGTAATCCGCTTAAGCACATGCATGATTCTAAGTCGAAGCATTATCTGTTGCACGCACCTTCGGTCACTGATTTCGATTTTTCAAACAATGGAATAATACGGCTGAAACGCACCGCCTTCTCCAAGATGCACAGCCTCAATTTCATCAATTTACGTGGCAATCGACTAAGAGAAATTGACAGCATGATCTTTGACTCGCTGGACCAACTCATGGAAGTGGACCTTTCGGATAATATCCTGGATGAAATCCCAATCGATCTATTTGTTGATAAATACGTTCAAATTCTTCGTGTCGCTGGTAAAGAATGACAACGTGAATCATTATTTATCAGTACACAATAATTAAAATTATAAATGCTTAATTGAATTTAACAGAAATGATAAATTTTAATTTAATTAGTTATCATCTAATGAGCAAACTGTAAGATTTTTTAACCGTTGAGAAATTAATTGATATAGAAAAAATTATTTTTAGGAAATAATCTATCGACGTTGGCCACCATAAGTTCCTCGAAACTGACGATGCTCGATGCCTCAAGAAACAAAATTAAGGTAATCGGTAAAGATGATCTAGAAGGCGTACCACTATTAGATCAATTATATGTCAAATCAAATAATTTGAAGAGAATCCACCAGCATGCCTTCAGCAATCTCGAGCAATTACAATATTTGGATATCAGTGATAATAAGCTTTCCTTATTAACTGAGCATCATTTCAAGTCTAATCCAAGACTACAGGTTCTACTGATGAACGACAACCCCGGTTTGCAAATTCTGCCAGTTTTTAAAACTTATGACTTGCAATTTAATACGTTCAGGTAAATATATCATGTGCCATTTTATTTTAAGAACCAAATAAATTAATCTATATATGTATATCGCAATAATAGTTTAATTTAACAGCATTACCCGTTTCGAATGCGCGAATTGTGGTCTGGACAACCTCAAATCTGGAACGTTCGACGAAATGCCGGCATTGACTCGATTAAAGCTAGCAAAGAATCGTCTATCTGCCTTACCCGATGGATTCCTGGATAATCTTTCGTCTCTTCGTGAACTGGATTTGTCCGATAATAACATCAATGCTCTCCGACCCAATATGTTCCGCGGCGCCATAAATTTGAACAAACTGAGCCTCGCTCGTAATCCATTGAGAACATTACAAGTGACGCCGTTCCTAGATCTTCCAAGCCTCACCAAATTGGACGTGAGTCGATGCAACCTCGAACGCGTTTGGAGTGAAGCTAGAGTACCATTGAAGACTCTTCGGTACTTAAAAAATTCTGTGTTCTTCCTCGTGAATTGTTGTATTTGAGGATAATTTTAAATATAATCTTTTTTTAATATTTTACAACATATCTTCTGTATTATAAACAAAATTATTCTATGACATTGTAATCAAGATATTCATTGATCAGTGTATTATGATGTCAAAAGATTCACTGATCAATGTATCTCACATTTTCGCTCTTGTTTAGATTTTTGTCGGTTCGTGGTAATCTTCTACGACGAATCACCGTTGAGGAACTGAGAGCCACACCACATCTCACTGGTCTGGATTTGTCGCATAATCCTTTAGATTGTGATGCTGAATTCACTGAATCTGTGCAATGGCTTACCGATCGTGGTGTTGCACCTACAGAGGTACTTGAGTGAGTATTCAAGATTAGTCGTCAGTTAAATTTTATAGAGAACATCTCTCAATCTATCATGTTTTTATAGACTTATCAATGATAAATATGACGATATTGAAGATATTGATAATTTTATGGACGTCAATCAGTGGACAGATTTAGCGAAGATAATTTGCGATGGAATCGATGACGGTCCACCAGCAAGATCACCTCCTGGCAAAGGCACACAAAAAGATATTCTTCTAAATATTGATATTGTAGAAGATTCCGATCCTTTATTGAAACATGAGCTTGACAACAATGAGGTAAAACGATAATAAAGAATGTCCTTTGATATATGTTTTAGAAATATTTTTTTTATATACTTCAATTATTTATTTCTTTTAATATAATTTTTAATTTTATATAATTTATTATATTATTTCCTAAATTAAAATAATAATGCTGGATGCGTTTATTGTAGAAACTCAACATCGATCACGGCATGCAACATATCGATGAGCCGCGATTAACGGAAGATCAAGAATACGATGCAGACTTCGCAGTTACCACTCAATATCACACTTGGTACAACTGGAAACCGAGTTTCAAAATTTGGTTGATTTCCGGTACTGTTCTATCTGTTCTGGTAATCTTTTTGTTGGTAGCTCGTCTTGCCTGCTGCTTGGCGAATAAACGAGGACGAGGTCCTGTTATCAGGCCACCCATGATCCTTCGTCAAGGTCTAGTTGACAACAAAAACTGCGGTTTGGTATATAAACCTTTACAGGAGGAAATAGCCACGCCTCACATGCCAAAACGCGGTAGCTTCTACTCGAGCAGTACCTTCCATTACGATAAAATCGTACCAGAGAGTGTATAAGAGAACTTATCTCCTGATTAATTAATTGACCCATTACTGGGCAATCTACCGATGGTTGGTTGTGAACAACGAATCGTAGAAAATCATTTTGCGCTGTTCTCGCGAATCAAGAGAAGTTCTCAGACTGTTATTCTAACGACGAAGCCGATGAGAATAATTAGGCAGATTTTTTTGACCACGTAATTCATAATATATAATCCTGTTGGTAAATTGATTCGTTTTGATTAAAAGAATATAACTGAGTATTTAATTCAACCTCTTAGAAAGGAATACGATTGATCGTAATATTTTTCTTCTAGGCTTTGTCGTGCCCTCAAAGTTGACATAAAATACGTGGTTAATAAACGTTTATTGTTATATTATTAACTCAAAGATGCCTGATAGAAATAGTTATATATCTTAAAATAACGAATAGTTATAATATATCTTAGATATATAACTGCAGTACTGCGTTACAACCATATATAAATATGTAGCTTTTGTAAGAAACAATGAAAAATTAAATTATTTTTTACAAAAAATAGAGTTACAAAAAAATACAACAATGTACTTATTTATAAGCTCAACTAACAGTTTTACTTGATTAAGTAGCGAAATTTGGAGAACAATTCGAAGAAAAGCAGTACTGTCTAAGAAGCACGTATTTAATCAAATGAAAATGAAATGTAATAATAATAATAATATTGCGTTAATTAGACATAAAGCATGTCTATAATTGGTAGTCGGTGATGAGAGAATTATATATGACAGATGTAAAATTTTATACGAAACGAGAGAGCTTCCTGTAGGATGTCCAGTCATAGTAATATATGCCAACAATAAAACAATAATTATGGTGACGATGTCTTCATTCAGTGAGAATTCAAAAATTTACGTTGAAATTAATACTTTGTACGTACGTTATGTCGCTATGCACATCTCTATTATATATATTATACACACACATATAAATATATATAT